GACAAATCCAGATATTGTTGCCAAGGTTTAGAAAATTGTTGTTTCTATTTATAAAGCATAGCCATTTTTATATATATAGCAATATATTGGGGGGGGGGCATTTTTAGCTTATTTGAATATTTGGGGAGGGAGGGATGTGTGGCCCCCCAATATATATTATAATAATTACGGCCTTGCTCCACGCACACAGCGAAGGCTCCCGACTCAGGAAGCGAACCCGGGCCCTTTCTCGAGGCACGGAGATGTCGCCACTGCCCCCTACCGCCTCCTCCACCCCGCAACGCTGCCCGGGTGAAGTCCCTGGCGATGAGAACGACCACTTCACGTGGTAGCGGCTGCACGCTGATGATGAGATGTAATATATAATATATGTATTACGGAGTGCTTAAACGCTGACAGATAATAAGTTCTCATGGCGTATAGAGAGATAGAGAGGGGGGTAGTAACGCCTTCAAACTGCAATAGGCTTCCTGTCAGGATTAAACGAATCAATGGCCGTGTTACACTCAATGGGCTGCTGCTGCCGCTGTTACCACTGCCGCTGCTGCTGCTACTACTGCTGCTGTTACTGCTGCTGCTATTGCTGCTGCTACTGCTGCTGTTGCTACTACTGCTGCTACTACTGCTGCTGCTGCTACTGCTGCTGCTACTGCTGCTGCTGTGGCTGGTACTGTTGCTGCTGCTGCTACTACTACTGCTGCTGTTGCTATTGCTGCTACTACTACTGCTGTTGCTACTACTACTGCTGCTATACTGCTGTTGCTGGTACTGTTGCTGCTGCTACTGCTGCTGCTACCGCCGCTGTTGCTACTACTGCTGCTACTGCTGCTGGTACTGTTGCTGCTGCTGCTACTACTGCTGCCACTACTGCTGTGGTATCGAGGTTGACAACGCCGGACTTTCGATTCCCCACTTGGACACACGTGTGTAAACAAAGAGCTTCCCAGCTCATCGGATTCCTCCAGGATGAAGGGAAGATTCTGGTTCCGATCTGCCCGGCCGCGCGCCCCCCACACACCCCCACCCCCACTCGGGATGATCTGACGTCACACGTTGCTGTGTGACGTCGGTGGCGATGACGACGAGAACCCGAAGCCACGTGCAATAGACCCCCCTCCCACACACACCCCCACTCGGGGTGGTGTGACGTCACGCGTTGCTGTGTGACGTCGGTGGCGATGACGACGAGGACCCGAAGCCACGTGCAAGAGACAACCCCCCCACACACCCCCACTCGGGGTGGTCTGACGTCAGGCGTTACTCTGTGACGTGGGTGGGGATGACGACGACGACCTGAAGCCACGTGCAAGAGATACCACTGTCTGTGTACCCCTACCAGCCCCTGTCTGTGTACGCCTACCAGCCCCTACCACTGTCTGTGTACCCCGACCAGCCCCTACCACTGTCTGTGTACCCCTACCAGCCCCTGTCTGTGTACCCCTACCAGCCCCTGTCTGTGTACCCCTACCAGCCCCTACCACTGTCTGTGTACCCCGACCAGCCCCTACCACTGTCTGTGTACCCCTCCCAGCCCCTGTCTGTGTACCCCTACCAGCCCCTGTCTGTGTACGCCTACCAGCCCCTACCACTGTCTGTGTACCCCGACCAGCCCCTACCACTGTCTGTGTACCCCTACCAGCCCCTGTCTGTGTACCCCTACCAGCCCCTGTCTGTGTACCCCTACCAGCCCCTACCACTGTCTGTGTACCCCGACCAGCCCCTACCACTGTCTGTGTACCCCTCCCAGCCCCTGTCTGTGTACCCCTACCAGCCCCTACCACTGTCTGTGTACCCCTACCAGCCCCTACCACTGTCTGTGTACCCCTACCAGCCCCTACCACTGTCTGTGTACCCCTACCAGCCCTACCACTGTCTGTGTACCCCTACCAGCCCCTGTCTGTGTACCCCTACCAGCCCCTACCCCTGGAGGGGGGGGGGGATTCTTTGTCTTTGTGTAAATAATAACCCGAGCTCGTGGGTTGCCCCCCCCACCACTCCGTGCAGGCTCCTTCAAGGGGATGTGCAAGAAGATCGATCACCTCCCAGAGGACACGGAGATGGAGGCCGACTCAGCCGAGTACCTGCTACGTGAGTGACTCCGTCGTCATCATCGTCGTGATCGTCGTTATCGTCGTCGTCGTTATCATCGTCATCATAGTTATCATCATTATTGTCATCATCGTTATCATCATCATTGTCATCATCGTTATCATCGTCATCATCATCGTTGTCATCATCATCGTTATCATCATCTTCTTCATTATCATCACCACCTCTTCTGCACTTCCATCAAGTTATGAATCACGTCCTGTGTCGAGCGGCGTCCTTCATCGCAAGGCCCGCGGGACACTGGCGGCCTTTAGGGGGGGGCCCTGGTGGCCTCGAGGGGGGGGGCCTGACCCATTGTTTGTCATTACCCCCCCCCCCCCGCCCGTACCTCCGATAAGTTGGCTACGTACGGTGCGAAGGAGTTCAATACACGTACTGGACGTACTGTACAGGGTCTCCCATCACTGGGTTGGGCAGCCAGATGAGAGCACACGGTATAATCCCTGCGTTTGACATTAATGATTAAATCTGAAAAAGCCAGAGACCCAGAGAGACCCACAGAGACCCCCCCCCCCCTTCTCTAGGAACCCACAAACACCCATAGAGACCCACAAACACCCATAGAGACCTATAGACACCCATAGAGACCCATAAACACCCATAGAGACCCACAAACACCCAAAGAGACATATAGACATCCATAGAGACCCATAAACACCCATAGAGACCCACAAACACCCATAGAGACCTATAGACACCCATAGAGACCCAAACTTACCCATAGTGACCCATACACACCCAAAGAGACCTATAGACACCCATAGAGACCCATAAACACCCATAGAGACCCACAAACACCCATAGAGACCTATAGACACCCATAGAGAACCATAAACACCCATAGAGACCCACAAACACCCAAAGAGACCTATAGACACCCATAGAGACCCATAAACACTCATAGAGACCCACAAACACCCATAGAGACCTTTAGACACCCATAGAGACCCATAAACACCCAAAGTGACCCATAAACACTCAAATAGACCTATAGACACCCATAGAGACCCATAAACACCCATAGAGACCCATAAACACCCAAAGAGACCCATACTTACCCATAGTGACCCATAAACACCCAAAGAGACCTATAGACACCCATAGAAACCCATAAACACCCATAGAGACCCATAAACACCCATAGAGACCCATAAACACCCAAAGAGACCCATACTTACCCATAGTGACCCATAAACACCCAAAGAGACCTATAGACACCCATAGAGACCCATAAACACCCATAGAGACCCATGGATACCCATAGAGACCCAGAAACACTCACAGAGAAGAGGTGAGGATTGAAAGGAAGAACTGAAGGAGGTTAAGGATGGGAGCTGCTTCATGTACAGAGGAAGCCCGTATGTCCTGGACACTCGGGTGAAGAGAGGCACCACCTGGTGGTAAATTGGACCCAATGCTTGGGGCACCCGACCAGATAGACGTGGAAGGCCCAAACGAATAGCGCGGGTTTTCTGGGAACGTCTGGTGGAAGACCCAGTGCAGAAATATTTCAACTTCCACCTCCGGGAAAAAAAGAAAAAAAACTTCTCCTGCACTCCAGGGGAGGTCGTGGACATTGAGTCCGAGTGGACGATATTCAGGACCTCGATTGTCGATGCAGCTGCGAAAAGCGGTGGCCTGAAGGCAGTGGGTGCCTGTCAATGGCGGCAACCCTAGGACTCGCTGGTGGACACCAGTGGTGAGGGAAGCTGGAAAGTTGGAGGAGATGGAGGAGAAGGAGAACGAGAAGATGAAGGCTTTCCGAGCTATGCTCGGAAAAATGTCTCCCGACTTGACTTAAAGCTTTCGTGACTTCAGGAATTCATATTCTTGGGTCTTACGGTAAAGTCACATAGATAGGTTCAAAGAAAATAGCAAAAATAACAAAAAACTACGACGTTTCGATCGCAACACAAGCGGTTGTCTTGAAGACGACCACTTGTGTTGCGATCGAAACGTCGTAGTTTTTTTTATTTTTGTTATTTTCTTTGAACCTACCTATGTGACTTTACTGAAAGACCCAAGAATATGTCTCCCGACTTGATTGAGAGGTACCGGCTTGCCGAGCGGACGGCAACTGCAGCAGTCGCCGAAGCGAAAAACCCGGGGGCGTGAGACGAGTTTGGAGAGGCCATGGAGAGTGACTACTACCGGGCAGCCTCAAAGATGTTCTGGCAAAGCATCCCGACGCCTTCGGAGGGGGTCGATGGGACGTGGCCCAAAACTGTTTTCCGTCAGGGTGGTGGCGTAACATTGAACTCAGCTAAGGAGGTAGTGGAGAAGTGGAAGGAACACTTCTCCTCTGTGATCTCCAGCGTGCACTTGGAACGGTTTGATGCCGAGTGTGAAGCGGCTGGGATGGGGATCAGCACCTCCAAGTCTGAGGTCTGGTTCACTCCCGGGAGACGGTGGATTGTTCTCTCCAGGTGAGGGGGGAACAGCTGCCCTTAGTGGAGGAGTTTAAGCACCTCGGAGTCTTTTTCGTAAGTGACGGTGAGTGGGAGCGGGAGATTGGCTGGCGGATCGGTGTGGCGCCCGCAGTTTTGTGGGTAGTGTACCATTCCATGGTAGTGGCGTTCCATGGTAGTGCATAGTAGTGTATAGTAGTGTGTAATATATAGTAGTGTGTAGTAATGTATAGTGTAGTAGTGTATAGTAGTGAAGTATATAGTAATGTATAGTGTAGTAGTGTATAGTGTAGTAGTGTAGTGTATAGTGTAGTAGTGCATAGTGTAGTAGTGTAGAGTAATGTAGTGCTGGAGTCTGTCACCAGGTAAAGGGATGTGTGGACCACCACTACTCAACACGCCCCTGCCACGACCCTCACCAGGGCAAGCGGACTTAGAAACGAACGAACGAACGGGTCTTCTTGTACAGTTCGGTGTTGTGGATTTATTTATTTTTGGCCAGAAATAAATAATACAATTCAATCAACGATCTCAAAGCGCTGTACAGGACACAACATCAGCAGCAGCAGCAGAAACTCAGCATGAAACTTCTACTGATAATAAGATGCAGCCGATTGTCCTGCAGCATCTGTTATGGAAGGCCAGAAAGTGGTGTGGCCACGAATCCCAAACCATCGACTGCCAACATCGTAAAACACTCCGCCACTGCCGATGCATTTACTGCTTTGAAGGAGGAACGGACGACTATCCGCTTTCTGCTTTCCGAACAGACAATCGAGTCGGGATAACAGAATCTGAAATTACATCTTCTAATCCGCCGCTATTAATCCGTACGATGAGAAGAAATCACTCGACGGATGTACGATCGGAAATGAGACGCTCCTGCGGCAGAGGCAGGCGAGAGAGACAAGTGTGATGATCGGGACCATCTGTTCCCCCACCCTACCCACCCCCCCCTCGGGTCGGCGTGTGTTCGCGTGCCAGGCGTGGTGCGAGCCTCCAGCGTTTTCCCCATCCTCAGCGTGACCCTGCTGCTCTTCGGGGGGCTCAGCATCGCCGCCAGTCGCTTCTACAAGTCCAAGAACAACGTCGTGCTCAGCGCCGGAATATTTTTCGTATCGGCAGGTCGGTTTTAGTGGCCGCGCTGCGTTGGGTTGCGTGTCGTGTCACATGGTGTCGTGTCACGTGATGTCGTGTCACGTGATGTCGTGTCGTGTCACGTGATGTCGTGTCACGTGATGTCGTGTCACGTGGTGTAGTGTCGTGTCACGTCATGTCGTGTCACGTGGTGTCGTGTCACGTGGTGTAGTGTCGTGTCACGTGATGTCGTGTCACGTGATGTCGTGTCACGTGGTGTAGTGTCGTGTCACGTGGTGTCGTGTCACGTGGTGTCGTGTCACGTGGTGTCGCGTCACGTGGTGTCGTGTCACATGGTGTCGTGTCACGTGATGTCGTGTCACGTGGTGTCGTGTCGTGTCACGTGATGTCGTGTCACGTGATGTCGTGTCACGTGGTGTCGTGTCACGTGGTGTCGCGTCACGTGGTGTCACGTGGTGTCGTGTCACGTGGTGTCGTGTCACGTGGTGTCACGTGGTGTCGTGTCACGTGGTGTCGTGTCACGTGGTGTTGCGTCACGTGGTGTCGTGTCATGTCACGTGGTGTCGTGTCATGTCACATGGTGTCGTGTCACGTGGTGTCGTGTCACGTGGTGTCGTGTCACGTGGTGTCACGTGGTGTCGTGTCACGTGGTGTCACGTGGTGTCGTGTCACGTGGTGTCACGTGGTGTCGTGTCACGTGGTGTCACGTGGTGTCGTGTCACGTAGTGTCACGTGGTGTCGTGTCACGTGGTGTCACGTGGAGTCGTGTCACGTGGTGTCACGTGGTGTCGTGTCACGTGGTGTCACGTGGTGTCGTGTCACGTGGTGTCGTGTCGCATCGTGTCGTGTCACGTGGTGTCGTGTCACGTGGTGTCGTGTCACGTGGTGTCGTGTCACGTGGTGTCGTGTCACGTGGTGTCGTGTCACGTGGTGTCATACTGTGTCGTATCTGTGTGAATCTATGGGTTTACTACGTGGTCCATAGAGTTGCATGGCCACAATTTCAATACAGCAGATTGTGATCCAGACACCTGCTGCTGTATATTTGGAGTTTGCGTGTCTCTCTCTCTCATCATCATCATCACGGTGGCTAGGAGATGTTAACTACCTCGCCTGGTATACAGGAGGTCGTGGGTTCGATCCCGACTCTGACGCTTGCTGCTCTATATTTTGAGTTTTTGTGCCTCTCCCTCTCTCTCCCTGTGGTCGCGTGGATTTTTTTTCCGGGTCCTCCGGTTTCACCCCCCACCCCCCCACCCCCACACACATTTAGAATCGACATCACGGAGTTATTTGGCTACTGCCATGAATTTCCACGTGATGATAATGACGATTAGACACTTCGTTGAGGCTTTCATTTGTGATAGCCACGTAGTTGCATCAGAAAAAAAGCTACTACGTTGCTCAGTCGGAGACTTAACACAGTAAAATAAAAAAATAGTTGAGTTTGCAATTTGCAGATAAAAAAATATAATCAGCTTTGGGATGGTTGCGTGGATGAGTGGGTGGTTGAGTGGGTGGGTGAGTGGGTGAGTGAGCTGGTGAGTGGGTAAGTGTGTAGGTGAGTGGGTAGGTGAGCAGGTGGGAAGGCGAGTGAGTTGGTGGGCGAGCGAGTGGGTGGTCGTGGGAGCGATTCGATGTGTTAGCCTGTGGGGGGTGTACGAGTGGGTGGTTGAGTGGGTAGGTGTGCAAGTGGGTGGGATGGTGGGTGGGTGGGTGGGATGTGGGTGAGTGGGTGGTTGAGTGGGCGGGTGGGTGTGTAGTGTACTATTTCAGAGACCCACAACCGAACGACGAGTAGGGGCGGTCAGCTGAACTGAACCATCTTGGAACGGGTCCTTGTCGCCGGCCCCTTGTATGGGCATGGCACGGGTCCTCGGAGGTAACCCGAGGATGGCCCAGTGGACGGGTCCCTCCTGGGACGAAGATGGAGGAAAAGAAGAAGCGGGTGGCAGTCTTCCCATCAACCCTGATCCGTCTGTGGGTGGCGCCGCTGGCAGTTCCATGGGCGTCAGGCCCTGTGATCCTGCAGATGGAAGAACAGAGCCTCGCTGAGGCGCATCAATCGTAACCCGGACACATCAAACACCCGGCCATCAGATGGTGGAGATGAAACGCCCTCATAAGGTGGAAAATAGGGCTTCAGTCATGACGGGTGCACATACCAACACCTGCGACCAACCTGCATCCTCACACACTGCGGCCTCACCTCAATAACTTCCACCGGGCCTTGCCATGGCCTATTTAATTAAGGAGACGTGCCTAGAGGCACCTGAGGGCAATGCAAACATGCCCTCTCCCCAGGCTTCCACAAGTTTCCGTACTCCTCAAGCCCAGCCAGTTGTGCATTTGCAGCCTGCCGTTTGGCCGGATTGCCACGGGACACCTCCCGCGCTTCCGTCAACCGCTCAAGGGTGAGGCTCATAAGTCCCAGCACAGTGGCTCTCTTCTTGCTCGGCTCAATATTTAACGGCTTCCATGGGGGAGTCACATTCTCTCCCGTACATTAAAAAAAACGGGGAAAATCCAGTAGAGGCATGAGGGGCCATCCTATAGGTTGCAAGAACCCCCGGAACATGTAGGTCCCAATCGGACTGTGCCTTATTGACTTTTTGGCACAACATGGACGTAAGAGTTCTATGTAAATGCTCTACCATTCTGTCAGTCTGGGGATGGTAGGGCAAAGTTCAAAATTTCTTTGTACCCAACAAAACACATACCTCTTGCAACAATTTCGAAGAAAAATTTCGACCTTGGTCCGTAAGGAGACGTTCCCGGGCCCCTTTATCCAACACGTAACCATGCAGGAACGCGTTCGTAATGGACGCCGCTGACTGATCTGGCAGGGGCCATGCCACCGGCCACCGCGACAGGTACCAACAAAGAATTTACTTCCCAACAACGTGGTGGAAAATGGCACCGAGGATGTCGAGGGCAATGAGCTCATTTACATGGGACGCCCCGATAGATTGCAGCGGTGGTCAGGGACAGCCTCGGCAGGGACTTCCGGCGAGCACATTCCACACAACCTTTGAGCAGGTTGTGGACGTCTTCTGACATCCCAGGCCAAAAGAAGTCCCGCTTCAACGTCGATAAATGTTTTATGCACCCCTAGGTGCATCAGCCGCACATGAGCAGCTCTCGTTACCTTACCCCACAGAGCAGTTGGCACAACGATACAGTACCGCTGTACCTCCGTATCCCAGCGCATTAGTAGCCCATGTCGGAGGACCACGGGGGACATACCCCCTGGACCCTTCCTATCGCTTGGCTTACCAACGCGGCACCATATTTTCAGTAAGGAGGCGTCCTCCGTCTGGAGGCGCCCCCGTTCCTCGTGCGCAAGACCAATGGTGTTATTGTGTGCCACCTCCGCTATGGGCGGCGGAGCATCCACCGATGCTACAACGGCTCCCGGCTCCCCCGCATCCACCTGCTTACAACGGCCATTGCCAATAAAACACACGCACTGGCTTTTCAGCGATAACCATGACAGAGCGTCCGCAATGCAGTGGCGCAACCCTTTCTCCTATAGGTGACTTCGCAACCATCGCGAGAGTTGCTTGGACGGTTGGTCAACGCGTAGCACGTATTGCAAAGCCGCGTGGTCCGTGCATACCATGAACTGCCTGCCATAGAAGTAGGATCGGTACTGCTGGACAAAGTGCATGATAGCCAACAACTCGCGGCCAGTGACACCATAGCGCTGCTCTGCAGGGGACAGCACTCGGCTACCGTAAGTGACCACACTCTCCACCCCGTTCTCCACCTGCGACAATATGGCGCCGATCCCGGTATCACTGGCGTCCGTATCCAACACAAATGGCAAGGTGAAATCGGGGTACCGAAAAAGGGGAGCATTCACGAGGCCACCGCGCAGCATAACAAATGCGCCCTCCTCCTCCTTCCCCCACCGATACCTCTGGCCTTTAGCCGTGAGAGCGGTAACACGACACAAACCCCACAAAACTGCGGACCTCGCCCACCGACATGGGGGTCGGCCACTCACGCATGCACGCAGTCTTGGCAGGGTCCGTGGCGATCCCGGACTCGCTAACAATGTGACCCAGGTAGCGAACCGACATTTGCAAGAGGTAACATTTCTGTGGCTTGAATTTCAAATTAGCCACCTGCATTTTAATAAATACCGCACGCAACCACTGCAGATGTTCCCAGAACGTGCAACCAAAGACAATCACGTCATCCAAATAAATCAGACACGACTCCCATTGGCGCTTTGACAGTACCAACTCCATTAGTTGCTGGAACGTGGCCGTAGCTGAGTGAAGCAACGTCGGAAGCACGTTAAATTGAAACAGCCCTTGCGGTGTCCGGAACGTGGTTTTAGGTTTTGAACTTTCATCCAGGAGCAACAGCCAAAACCCTGACAATATATCCAGGGTGGAGAAAAACCACGCCTCCGACAGGGCATTCAACGAATCGTCCATCCATGGAGCGGATACATGTGGGGAGCACCGCATGGCCTGGTGGATGGGGAGATTATATTGGCGGCCAACATGTCGTCGGCCACCGAAATGAGTTCTGACGAATGGGAGCGGCGCCACCCGTGTCAATATGGTGACGCATCAGGGACGTGCAGCCCACATCGAATTTACCCTTACTAAATGCATCGGAGAATTCCCAAAGCAATGCCCGCAACTTTCCCCTCTGCTCCCACGACAAATCTGGTTTACCCACACACAACGGATCCATCCACGAGTCATCCGACACCGCTTCAACGTTCAACCGCGGCCATGACCCGAGTGGTTACATCATCCCTTTCTCCACAACACGCCGCCGTCGCGTGGGCCAACACCATACCTGTCTGTATGACCACGGTACCCAGCCCACTATTTAATACTTGCAGGAATGGCTCCTGATCCCCCCTCACTATCGAGACCACGAACCGCTTTATTTGAAGGGGTTAAAAGAACCCCACTCCCAGTGATTTCCTGGCCGAGCCGCTTCCGCAGCCTCAAGGGTACGAGCATCTGTGCACCCGGGGGAACAACTAACAGTTTCACGCACCAGGGCCCAAACCACAGTGTTAGCCATACACAACCCAGTAGGGGACTCCAAAAATCTTAACCGAAGCCCCGACGGTAACTCAACACAACCCTGGTCAATCAAAATCCAGAGGGGCATTTTCTTCAAAAAATCAGTTCCCAATGAACACAGCACCGCCAATGAACTTGAAACTAACAACGGGCCCGTGCATTCAACATCTCCAATCCGTATCGATGCCACAATTTGGCCCACAATACCTAAGCTCCCACCATTAGCGGCAACATAGGGTCTACCCACAGGACCAAGGCAACCCACCGTTGATGGAAACGTCCTGGAAACAAACTCCGAAACAATGGTGGCAGATGCTCCCATATCTATGACCACCTGCACCTCAGCACCGTGCACAAATCCACTGACTGTGGATGATCCTGCTCCCGCTGCCATAACACGGTGTGCCAATGCGGTCCAATGCCCGGACCCCCGTGGCCAACAATCACGTACCGAAGCACCATCTTTGCACCCCGTATCCCTATGGGGAGCGATGGTGTGTACACCCAACACTGACTGCAATGGAGATGCATGAGGTGGCTGTGTCGGCTGGGTGAGTGATGTATCGTGACCTGCCTTTGGGTCCAGAGGAGTGGAGGCCGGCAGGGTGGAGGACGGCGAAGCTGGGAAAAACTGCCCCAAATCAGCACGGCAGCCCTTACAGATGTGCCCCGGTAAGGCCACATTTGAAACAGGTAACAGGGCCCCGCCATGGTGGAGGGAAGGTACTCCCCAGCTAGTCCCGTCGTTGTCCCATGCCGACTCTCCCTCGCGGGCTCCAACTCCCCGCTGCGCCAACCCGAGAAGACTCTCGGTGCTCCTGGTCGCCCTCTTCTCCCAGGAATCCAGCCCAGGCCGCCACCCCGGCATGCCATCGCAGGTTACAACGGGCAGGATGCATCAGGTTATCTGAATCGGGGACAGGTCGTCTTCCTCCGTGGCTGGCAAAAAGAATGCTCATTTCTTGAACCAGCGCCAACAATTTCTCCAGCACCAGAGAATCTAGTCCCGCCTGCTCCATCTTTGGGTATGCAGCCTGGGCCAGCGACAGTAGTGCACTGCGGAAGGCGGGGGGGGGCGTCTCGGTCTCCCCCCGACTCCGCATCACGAATTTCCATCGCGTGTTGGACGGCGGGTCAAAAATCGCCGCCAACTGTACGTATGCTTGCCGCAGTGTCGCCCTGTCCGCCTGGAGAATGGCAAAAAACGCCACGAAGGCATCGTATAGCGTGGTGGGAAGAACACCTAGCACTTCCACGTCAGACCACCCTGTGGGCTCGCAAGTGGTAGCGAAACACCGCCAGAAGGCCGCCCAATCACCCCCAGCAGCCGAAAATTCATTGGCCCGCTGCCCCGCCGGGACCACCTCTCCGGAACCCCCACCGGGGTCCTGGCTGTCGGGGCTGCCCGGGAACCCTCATCGCTCGAGGATATGCTGATGCAGGCCCTCCTGTTCACGGATTTCGACATTGCCTATTCCCCCCATAAGGATTTTGAAAGAAAAAAAGAAAATTCCCAACAACCATGGAACAAAACAAAACCACTTTTCGTTAACATTTCTGACACCAAATGTAGTGTACTAATTCAGAGACACTAGTAGGAGACGTTATCCATCTTGTTATTCCAGCTCTCACAGCCATAGGGGATAACTCCATACCGGGTCGGGACAGCCAACACGCTTGCAGACCCACAGCTCGAAGAGGCGAAGACCACGACGACGAAAACAGGATGACGACTTCCATTCCCGATGGCAGCAGGCCCCGACTGGGAGTCGGAGCTCACCTTTTATTCTCCCCAGTGTGGCCAGGCTCAGCCCTCGGCCACGCACCCTTCTGGATCCCCCAGAAGGATCCCGGTTTGGCCCACAGGTCCAACTGGTAGAACGGGCTGGTACCCCTAATTCCATTGTCTACCAATCTCCCAGTGCCACGCGCGACAGTGACTCATTCAATGTCACTACAGGCGTGCGAGTCGGTGGTTGAGCGACTGGGTGAGCTTGTGAGTGAGTGAGCGAGCGTGTGGGTTGCCTGGGGGCCCCAACCAAATAAAACACCGCGTGCGTGCCACCTCTCTCTGTCTCTCCCTCTCGCCCCGCAGGCCTGAGCAACATCATCGGCATCATCGTCTACATCTCGGCCAACGTGGGCGACCCCAACCAGAGCCAGTCGAAGAAGAACAGCTACTCGTACGGATGGTCCTTCTACTTCGGCGCGCTCTCCTTCGTCGTCGCCGAAATGGTCGGCGTCCTTGCCGTGCGCATCTACATCGACAACCACCGGCTGGAGCGGGCGCGCTTCCGCCCCGACTTCCTCAAGAGGTCCACCGTGGCGCGCCTGCCCAGCTACGTCTACCGCTACCGAAGGCGCTCTCGCTCGAGCTCACGCTCCAGCGACGAAGAAGGCGACGGCCCGGCCGCCACGGCCGCTCGCTCCGACGACGACGATGACGACCGGAACGCCGCTCTCAAGGGCTACGTGACTCCCCCGCACCATCCTCTCCATCCTCCGCCGGTCGCGTTGACGCTGTCGCATTCCCAGCAGCTGCAGCAACAGCAGCAGCAGTCCGCCAACGACATGGCCATGTACGCGCTCGCGAACAGGGACGGTGCGGGCAAGGGGGTCTTGGGACCCGCGTCATACCTCAACTCGTCCGAGCGGCTGGCGGCTGAGGCCGGCTTCCTGCACGTCCACAACTGCGTCCACAAAGAGCTGCAGGAGGGCCTGCTGAGCAGCAGCCTGGCCAACAGGAGGACCACGCCGGTGTGATCGTCCGCGGTGATGAGAGTTGCTGGCGGCGAGCGGTGGCGTTGTTGGTTTTTTTGTTCTTTTGAGTCGCCCCCCCCCACACCCCCTGTAACTTCACGTTGCTGGGAGTGCCGCGGGGGGGGGACTGGGGGTGCCCCCCCCCCTTCACCTGCAACCTCTCTGTTGTCAAATGCTCGAGCTGCAAGATGGCCCGGTAGGACGGGGGCCCCCCAGGTCATGTGACACCGTCACAGAGCTGAGCGGTCTGGATCGTTATTCATTCATCACCCCCCACCACCAAACTTTGAAAGCCCTCCCCTCTCTACCTCCCTCCCCCCTCCCTCCCCTCTCTCCCTCCCTCCTTTCCCTACTCCCTCCCTCTCTCCCTAACTTTCTCCCTCTCTCCCTCCCCGCCCCCCTCCTTCCTCTCCCTCGCTCCTCTCTCCCTCCTCCCTCTCTTTCTCCCTTCGTCCCTCCCCACCCTCCCTCCCTCTCACCCTCTCCAGCGCTCTCTGTTTCTCCCTCTCTCAACTCCACTCTCGCTGTCTCACCCCACCCCCTCTGCGTCAGTCTCGCCGTGGAAATGTCTGCGAACCCGGAATCTGCGAACCCGGAATCCAGAAGCCGAGACTTTGGTCCAGCGACTTGTGATGGGCAGGAGAAGGTTGTGACACTAGCGCGCGTCGCGGATGGGAAGCAACGGGATGTTGGCTTCGTGTTGTTGTTGATGTTGTTTGTAAGGGGATTCGTTTCGCTGCAGAACCGTTTGCTCATTCGGTGGAGGGCGGACGGTTATTCTAAAGTGCCCCGGGGGGAGGTCTTTTTTGTGCCGGAGTGATAACACATCCCAAGCCGCAAAAACTGCCGCCCAATTCGCCACTAAGGGGCGGTGACGTCGCCGCAGCGCCTGTGCCAGGCTACGTGCAGGTCGAGGCCTGGGCGGGAGGTCACGGGAGCATGCCCCAGCCAGCAAGAGCCCCGCCGTGGGTTGACTTGACCGAGCTGACACGCGGACACGGAGACACAGCGACATGGCCGTACCTGGCGGAGGAGTTGCCGGAGTTGCCGTGGAGGTAGACGGGGCGGAAATCTCGGCGCTGTAAATAAAATAAATGAAAGTTAAACGAATAAATGTTTGCATTATAAATAAAATAAATAGCAAATATGTATTATTCCTTTATATTTATTTTATTAATAAAAATAAATATGAAAAATATTTATTTTATTAATAAAATAAATATAAAATACGTATTGTATTTATTTTATGAATGAAATGAATATTTTTTATATTTAAATAAAATAAATATAAAATATTAATTATATTTATTTTATAAATAAAACAAATATAAAAATATTTTATATTTAAATAAAATAAATATAAAATATTAATTATATTTATTTTATAAATAAAACAAATATAAAAATATTCATTTTATAAATGAAATAAATATTATATTTATTTTATCAATAAAATAAATATAAAATATATATTTCATTAGTTTTATCAATAAAATAAATAAAATAAATATTTAATTTATAATTCCCGCCGCGATGTCTTCATACTTTTCCCCGCCCCCCTCCCTCCCCACACCGGATTGTTGTGTTGTTGATGTTGTTGTTTGTTTGTTTTGTTTACAAAATCGTGTGTTGCTGTTGTACCGAACGCGGACCGCCGTGGATACCGGAGTGGAGGGGAGAGAGGGGGTGGGGGGGAGGATGGGGGAGGGGGTAGGGTGGGGGGCTGTGGCGGGCATGGGCGGAGTTTGCGGGGGGGGGGGTGTGGGAAAGCAACGCCCCGCCCAAACTGGGCACCTTCATTCATTTATTTCCAGTAGTTTACAATTAATATTAAAAAGTTCACAATAATTATATGCACGCGCGATTCCTAATGGAAGGGACAAAGCGAACCCCCCCTCCGCTCCCCGCCCCCCCCCCCAAATATAGAAGTCAAACTCCACCTATGGTGGGTGGAGTAGTGGGTGGGGGGGGGGAGTCACGTGTGAAATCGGTGGATAGATCCGGGGGGTGGGGTGAGGGGGGTTGATGTAGTGGCGATCCGTTTCGGGTTTGTGTTTGTGCTCGAGTCGCAGTGTGCCCGCAGCTGGCATCATCACCATGACGACGACGATGACGCGAAGCCACGTGCAAGAGACAATCCCCCCCACACACCCCCACTCCCACTCGGGATGGTCTGACGTCACGCGCTGCTGTGTGACGTCGGTGCCGGTGACGACGACGATCCGAAGCCACGTGCAAGAGACAACCCCACCCCCCACACACCCCCACCCACACTCGGGGTGAACTGACGTCACGTCAACACACCGGTGGGCTAAAGTAGTGAATTATTTGTCTTTTGTCAACGTGACACTTTTTTTGCTGATTGGCCGTGTCGGGTGGTGGAGGGTTACGACACATTTATAAATAAACGCGATCTAACCCAAAAACCTTTATTATGAATAATATTGGTCGCGAAAGCCTACGTGTTAAACTGACGTCACGCGTTACTGTGTGACGTCGGTGGCAGATGCGCGTAACGGCAATGACGACGATGGTTATGATGATGATGACGATGGTTACAATGATGAAGACAATGATTACCATGATAACGACGATGGTTGTGATGATAACGACGATGGTTATGATGATGATGATGGTTATGATAATGATGATGATGATGGTTATAATGATCATAGTTATGATGATGATGATGGTGGATTTGTTTTTGTTTTTACAAAAGATAATATCCTGAAAATGCCGTTCGACGTTCCTGCTTCAATGCCGCATGGAAGGCAGGCTTTGGGCCCAGTTAGAAATGTTGTTAATTGTCACAAAAATAAATAAACAAAACCCCACTTGGCCCTCCAACCACGTGACTTCGTTCGGGCGCAGCGGCCCGACGATTCGCCGCACGCGCCCGGAGCCTCCCTCGGGACCGTGGGCGAAACGTCGGGCAACGTGCCCGAGAAACGCTCAGCGGCGACCGCGACAACTAACAGACGAGGTTGCACTTAAGAAAAAACAATAAATATATAAAGCGACCGTGCACCCCTTGTTTGTCCACTGCTTAATGTATTGCAGGGTTGTGTTCCACGTGTTGGGGACCTCTTTGACCATAACTTCACCGTGCTGGGCCGGGTGAAGGTTTCAGGGGCTACCCCGGCGCTCGCTCGCCCTCTCGAGGCTTTTGCCAAATCGTCGACGCCAGCCACAGCCGAGGCTGGAAGCTGTGGGCGCCGCGGTGGCTGAGAGACATTAACTACCTCGCCGCCTGGTACGCGTAAGGTCATGGGTTCGATCCGGACCCTGACGCCTGCTGTATATTTGGAGGTCGCTTTTTTCTTTCTCTTTCATCATCATCACGGTGGCTAGGAGATGTTACCTACCTCACCCGGTATACAGGAGGTCGTGGGTTCGATCCGGACCGTGATGCCTGCTGTATATTTGGAGTTTGCGTGTCTCTCTCTCCCCGTGGTCACGTGGACTTTTCATCCGGCCCTCTGGTTTTTTTCCCCCCTCCACATTTAGAACCGATGTCACGCGTTTAAAGAGTTACTTGGCTGCAAAAAAAGAAACCCAGCTGATAATCCCACTTCATTTGTCATAGCCAGATTGCTTCTGCTTTATAAAAGAAAACAAAACATATATTGACTTAAAGCTTTTGCGACAGCAGGAATTCATATTCTTTGGGTCTTTCTGTAAAGTAACATAGATAGAATTTTCTTTTTTTATAAAAATGAAAATAAAGTTAATTAAAAACAATAAAAAAATATCACGACGTTTCGATCGCAACACAAGCAATCGTCATCAGGAGAAAAAAGAGGGGGAAAGCTGCTGAAGCAGGCTGCTTTAAAGGTTTGAAATGGGTGTAGCCCAAGGGTCATAAGCGAAGTGGGCGGGGCTAGTTATGTTAATGTGAGAAATTTGCATGTCAATGTAAGATCGGAGAGCTACCTCCACGACGACGAAGCTGGCCATTGTATTGTGAGAGATTAGCATGTCAATGTAAAATCGCAGAGCCACCGCCACATGGAGGACACGAGCAACGGTGGCTGTAAATTTTGATTTAAAGCTTTCGTGACTGCAGTAATTCATATTCTAAGCTCTTTCGGTAAAATCACGTTGAAGGGAAACAATAAAATAATAAAATATATATAAAACAATAAAAATTCTCACAACGTTTCGACCATAACACAAACGGTCATCAGGTGTTTCTTGCCGTTGGTTTTTCACACCTGATGATGGCCGTTTGTGTTATGGTCGAAACGTCGTAAGAATTTTTATTGTTTTATATATATTTTATTATTTTATTGTTTCCCTTCAATGTGACTTTACCGAAAGAGCTAAGAATATAACGGTGGCTGTGTTCGTGTGAACCTGTTAATGTGAAATCAGAGAGTCGGAAGGTAGGATGGAAACATCACAGCCAGTTATGACTTAAACTGGTTAATAACGTCCTTTCAATGATTACTCAGTTTGGACCCATCTTCTCGGTTGAAATTGTGTCTGTGTCTGTATATCTGGATGGCTTCTTGAACGAATCTTTGTTGAAAGCCAGTGGGTTTGCAGAGTACCTTCGTCTTGGAGAAATCAATTTCGCGTGAGCCCACCGCATTAAAACAATGATCAGCCACAGCTGAGAAATTGGTCCTACCGTGTTTTAGATCTGCCTTATGTTCACGAACACGGTCCGAGACATGTCGCTTAGTTTCCCCAATGTAACTACTGCCGCAGACACAGCTTAGTTTGTAGACACCGGGGTATTGTATGTCATGTCAGGGATCACATCTTTCACAGATGGGATCAGATCACGAATTTTATGTAGTGTTAAATCGAACCTGGATCTTGTGTTTGCTCATGATTTTGGAAATCTTTTTGGTGACCCCTGCTATGTATGACAAGGTGATGGTTTTGATTGGGTCCTCACATGGTTCTTTCCCAATGGTTGGGGTGATAGCTTTACAGATTTTGTAGTCTGAATATCCATTCATCTAGAGGGCTTGGTGTACGTGCTCCAATTCACTGGTTAGGTGGTGATGTTTGGAAATATATTGAGCTCTATGGTGTAGAGTTTTGATGAGGTTTTAGGTAGGCATCCGTATGGGTGGCTTTGCTGTAGAGAGTGTCCCATTGAGCCATCTGGTCTCGTTTCGATTAAAACATCCAAGAATGGTAACTTGGCATCCTTTTTCACCTCCATGGTGAATTTGATGGCTGGGTGTATGGAATTGATGTGGTTGAGGAATTGGTTCAGAACTGGTAGGCCATGTGGCCAGATGACGAACGTGTCATCTACGTACCTCTTCCATGAAAACATTGGCTACAACTGGAGATAAGGGAGAACCCATTGGGGTACATTCAACTTGTTTGT